CTCGCCGCCGGCGCCAGCCACGCAGGGCCCTGGCCAAGCGACCTCGGCAGCCCCCGCTGCCCCGCACTCGGCGGCCCTCCCTGCAGCCCCTAAGCGGCGGCCCCCCCCCCGCGGCCCTTAAGCGGCGGCACTCGGCGGCCCCCCCGCGGCCCCCGTGGCGTCCTGCCGGCGGCGCCGGGCGATGCCGAGCCGTTGGAGGCAGCCTCGAGGATCGAGGATCGGGCCTCGAGGATCGAGGCTCGAGTATCGGGGGCCGAGGATCCAGGCACGCTAGACCTCGAGCATCGGGAACTGAAGCTCGAGGATCCGTGCATGCTGGACGTCGACGTTTGAGGCTCGGGGACCCAGGTGTCTAGGCGTTGCTTCCCCGTCTCTGAGCCACGCCCTACGCTCAAACCTGGCAACCTCGGTGCCGCCCCCCAAACAACACTCCTACACAAGCTGAAGGCCAAATCACAACGCGAGGCATATGGGCGAAAATCGCACGCCAGGTATACGCCCCCGCCAAGCTACGTTACACAGGCGCGGCAAAGCCGCAAAGAGATACGCAGGCGACGGCGACGGCGACAATGCAGGCCAATAGCGGCCCCCGGCGGGGCAACTCACAAGACCAGGCGGCCAACGGCCCACCAGCATCTCCCAACGCACTGGGCACCCCATGTGCCAATTGCGGGGGCGCAGAGGGAAGAGGAGGGAGACAGAGACAGAAGAAACGCCAACGCGGTTTTCCCCACAGCTCGCGCCAACCTGGCCGCAGGCAGACCCCAGAGGGCGAGTCACCATCGTATGGGTTCATATGGAATATGCAAAAGTTGGCACAATCATACGAAAACTGCACACCCCCAGGGGGCGGACAATCCGAGAGGGGGGAATTCCAATTCTCTTTTACACTGGCGAAAATATGTGGGGCAATCCCTGTGGTGCATTTTGTGTATGGGGTTGAAGTGCAAAGGTACAGAACCCCTGATCCGTTGGTAGAGGGAAGGAGGGATAAATGGATGTCTTTCCCTCCTGCACGATCAAAGGTCTGATCGATCTGTCCCAATACCTGAGCCCAAACGGCCAGGCGCAGGAGAGGTGAGGATAAGGAGCATTATATGAGGGTATTACACGGGTTCTATTCACACACCCCGTCCCGAATCCCGCCCGTGAGGGTAGGACTCGGGAACCGAGGAAAAGAATCCGTCACCCTTTTACTCCTTCAATCCTCAAGTCTGCAGGCAGCTGAGCGCAAGATCAGTATAGCCTCAGCTGCAGGGTAAGGTAAGAAGGAACACCCAAGGTCCCTATTTCTTCGCCAAGCACGCTTTGGTGCCCCCTCGGTGCGCCCCCAAAAAACGCTTCGGCACTCGAGGGCGGAGAAGAATGAGACACGGGTGGGCGGAGAAAGAGGATCTGAGCAAGTTAAAGCAACATCAGGATCTGCCTCGCCTAAGCGAGGCAGGTGTTGCCACCAGCTGTCTGTATAGAGCTGGCCGTCAGCTCGTTCTCAACGCAATGTAAGCAGAGTCTAAAGAGTAAACAATGATATATATATATATATATATATATATATATATATATGTATATATATATAAAATGATATCGCGTTGATGAACACGATCGTGCTACGAAACACATCTATATATCAAAGCAAATGTCTGGCCAGACGCAAAGTCGTGTTGATGAACACGGAAAGTTGCAAATAAATATATATATATATATATATATATATATAATTCTGTAGTTGACGATTCCCATTGGCGTTGCCCCTTGGGAGGCTGCCGTGGTCATCGCAAAATATGTGTGTATGTGTGGCCACTTGTCTTAGATAGCGAAGTGGCCTAAAAGAATATGATATCCACCGCTCGAGGCGAACTTGCATTTTGATGAAGTTCAAGCCTTTCGAGCGGTGGGCCTGGCGGCCGACTCTACTACGCGCTGCCCCTCTCGTAGAACCTGCGGTCCCACATCATGTGGCCATCGTACGACACGTAGCTCGTCTTGAAGGTCTCCCAAGGAGTCCTCGGGATCCAGTGGCGGAACCACTCATTGTACTGGATGTCGCGGGCGTAGACGAACTCGTCGTTGTTGTCCGTGATGTATACCCAGCATTTGATGTAGTAGCTCCAGTATCTGGGGCCCCACTGGCTGTCCTCCAGCTCGTCGCGCCACCACGTAGCGTAGTCCTCCGCCATGCGCGCCCTCTTGGCGCGGGGAGGAGTCGTAGGTCTGCGGCTGTCGTCGCTGCCCTGCCGCTGCGCTGCGGCGCCGCGCGGCCCCGCGTGCATGTAGTCCTGCGCGCCAGAGGCGCTGGACCCTGCAGCGCCGCCAGGAGCGGGGCGCGGCGGCGGCGGCGGGTGCCGCGGCATGCGTGGCTCCATGGCATCAGAGTACTGGGAGTGTGTATCCGGTTCGATCGGATCGGTTCTCACCCCTGAATCAACCCCCCTCTGGTCAGTGGAACCCCAGGCGGGTTCAACATAAGCAAGCGCAGCCAGCTTGCGCTGCGCGACTCCCTCACGGGTGCCATCCCCCCTGGGGGGGGGGCAATCGTGACAAGTCCGCGTGCCTGCCGCGTGCTTCTGTCGAGTCTGCCTGCGTTCAACCACCACTTCTTCCGACCAGCTTGGCCAGTCCTGATGCTGGTCTCGAGAATTTCACAGGCGCCGCGCATATCCTACATGGTATAGGCGTTCTTGCCTTTATTAATACGAGCGCCTGTCATTTGATGGTGGAACTTCAAATCATTGAGAAAGCGCTGAATGAGATTGGCAAATGGATGGTATAGAGGTCTATCGTCCTCACGGCCGCCCATCAATCTGCACATGTGTGCAGGAGGGGAGCCAGAGGCGACCCACTTCTCATACCTCTTCCTAGCGGAATTGGCCATTCTCCTCAGCACGTCTTTCTCATTGCCTGGAATAGAGCGCTTGCCCGTCATGATGACCTGCGCTCCGTCTCTCATGTACATCGTGATGTCATCCTGGGAGAGCGTCGTCTTGATCCAGTGGGTCAGCTTCTGGAGGTATGCCAGGTCGCTCTCGACGGCAGTACCTTCACCCGTAGCACCTACGGCAACTGTGTACTGCCAGCAGATGTCACAAAGGGTACCTTCGTCTGTGACGATCCCTAGGGATAAGATGCGATCGCAATTCCGACATCGCGCGATATCATGCTGAATATCTTCTGGGGCTCCGTCAATCGTGAGGTGCTCACGAGATCCCCAGCGAGTTTCCCGACCACGAGCAAGACTGCGGCCGATCTGATCCATGGCATCGCGGATGATCTCGGCGTTCGGTCGGGAAGCGATCGATCTGCTCATTCCCTCGATCTCGATCCTAGACAATCTTTCCCCTGGCAGTCCTACGCGCTCGGTCGTGTCGTTGTCCGCGCCATCAGTATCACCATGGCATACGTTTTCTGTACGGATACGGCTAGCTTCTTCCTGCAAGGCGGACTCGTTGTCACCCTCCTCGCGGTTGATTCCCTTCTGTTCGGCCATGATCCGTACCATGGTTGCCTGATCTGGAGCTGCGGATGCAATGCTGCCTGGATCCTGGGGAATGTCCTGCTCCGCGCCTGGGTCACGTGGCGCGGCAGGTGTTTCCACCAGCTCCGTCCATACGGGGAAGCCTGGATTGCCGAATGTCTTGATGCAATGTGTAAACAGATCACGCAACGTCTGGAGTGCAGGCTGGTTCTGATGAGTAGCAAATTTTGTGAAGTCACGGAGCTCCCCAATACTGTCCAGCAATATGATTTGATACACTTTAGAGATCCATTGGAAGACGCCTGTAGTCGACTCCTCGATGACCTCTGGGTCCAGGTAGTGTACCAACTTTTTGAAGAAGCTATCTGCACTGCAAATTGGTAAGTCACGTGCACATTTGTGAGTATGATTGTAATCAAAATAGTATTTCTCCGCGTTCCATGTTTTGGATCCGAAGTGAATTTCAAATCGTACGTACGACTGTGCTTTATCCACCACAAATCTGCCCGCGCCAGTGTGCACCTCAATGATTTGTTTCACCTTTATCATAGGTGAGTCCACCAACAACTGCGACGTCCAGCGGTATATGCGGTGGTCATATGATTGTTTGATCCACTGCGTGTCCTCCTCTGGGTCGTAGTCGGGGTGGTTGAGGAAGTCTTCTGGCGGGTCGATAATATTGTCGAGGATGCTCGCGTCGACGTGCTCATCTGCTTGGATCTCTGCTGATAGATCTGATCTCATGTTGTCATTTGCCGCTTTCTCCTCGGCAGCGAGTGGTATGTTTGATAGATCCACAATGACGGTAACAAGAGGTTCAGCAGATTGGCCTGCCTGTTGTTGGGGTCCATCGTCCGCGGGAGCAGTATCCTCGGCAGGTGTGGCCACCAGCTCTTCGGGATCGGGCGTCCGAGGAGCGGGCCGTCTTGTCGGCGCACGTGGGATACGTGGATTATAAATGCTCGGCACTCCGAGATATGGTAGATCACCATCTGTTTTATGCTGATGTATTTTGTCACGGCATGAGGATGGTCCTTCCAGCGCAGTATTCATGTCTCTCGGGCCAATGTCGGCACGAACTGGTAAAGCAAAGACAACGCCCTTGAGAGGCATGCTTTTGTCCATTGTACCATATGTTTACCCATCGTAAACCGTAGTTGAGGATAGGTATTTGCACCGCAAAGAACTTGTCAAAGACTCCGAAATGGATGATTGGGCCGTACATGTGGCCCTTGTTCATGAGGACCTTGGTGTTGTGATTGCCCTTGGGGTAGTGATTGTCATAATGATAACAATTGGTAGATCCCCAATTCTTAGTGACAATGAAGTCCCCCATGCGAACATCATTAAATATAGGCCGACGATTCCAATCTTTCTGCGTAATCTTTGATGTGATGGGTCGAAGGGCCTCTCGGCAGCATGACATAGCGATTAACCATTATTTATCTTCTGTTTTGTGCTCGCATTCGGCGATCATAGCGCGGACCATTTGTTCGTCCAAGGCGTCGGCGCCAGATATGCGGCCAGCAGGGGCTGCCCCCAGCTGAGGGGCAGTCGGTCGCTGAGCCGA